CCACAGTGCACATCTTACAAACCCAACCTCCATGTGCAGCTCCCTCTTTCCTTGTTGACCATATACTGTGAGATACTTCCAGTCCCACTCATGCCACACATCCTGTTCCTAGATTAGTGTGTCTCAGAGATCACACAGAATTTACCTACATTCCCCAATACACTATAGCCCCAAAACATCAAGAGACTCAAGCCCATCATTCTCTGCCTCTTACCAATAGTTTTCTTAAATCTGTCCATTCACCATATATGACCTCATTCTTCCTATACTCAAACCCAATGACTCCTATCATTTAGTTCAAGATCTCAAAATTATTCATAATGTGGTTACTCCTATTCACCCAGGTACCAAACCCTTATACTATGCTCTCTCATATCCCTCCTTCCACTAACTCACTTTATTGTCCTAGTCCTTATGATGCCTTCTTCACCATTCCCTTACACCCAGATTGCCAGGACCTTTTTACCTTCACATGGACTGATACAGACACTCTCCGATCTCAATAGCTCAAGTAGACAGTCCTGCCTCAAGGGTTCAGAGATCGTCCTCACTTCTTTAGTCAAGCACTTGTTGCTGATCTCAAAACCCTCAAGCCCAGCAGGCTTCAGTACATTGATGACCTCCTCCTTTTCTCCCCTTCTCATGCCCTGGCCCTAAGACACACATCTACTCTTCTCAATTTTCTGTCACTACCAGGATATACAGTCTCTCCCTCCAATGCTCAGATAGCTTCACCAAAAGTCAAATATCTAGGACTCACCCTCACTCCCACTACTTGTGCGATCAGTGCTGACCGTAAAGTCCTTCTTTGTAACCTTCAGGTGCTCACCACAAAACAGCAAGTTCTCTCCTTCCTTGATCTGGCTAATTTCTTCCACCTCTGGGTTCCAAACTTTGCTTCTCTAGCACAGACACTCTATAAAACACCAAAAGGTTCCTTGTTAAAGCCCCTTGACCCCACTGCTTCTATACATTCTTCCTGTCACATGCTACAACAGGCCCTCCAAAGGGCCCCAGCTACCACTTTACCCAACCCCACTCAACCTTTTACCCTATACACCACCTCTCAGGGTCACAATACAGTGGATGTTTTAGGACATAAAAAGGAACCATCTTTTCAGGCAATAGCCTACTTTTCTAAACAACTAGACAATACAGCTCACAGATAGACTTCATGTCTCCACACACAATAGCAGCCACACTAACACTAGACAAAAATTTCACTTTAGCACAATCTATCACAGTCCACTCACCCCATCACCTTAGTGAGCTCATCACACATAAGACAATTCCAGCCCTAATGACTCCTCATCTATACCAAATCCACTCAATGTTCATAGAGGATCCTTCCATTACTATTTCTACCTATAGTCTTCTCAATCCCACTACCTTATTCTATACCACTGATGAGGCCCCTCAATACAGTTGTATCAAGGTCCTACAGATGACCCCAACTCCCTTTTCTCACATTGTTATAAAAAACAAAAAATGAATACTCTTCTCTTCAACATGGTCTTGGTAAAATGACACATTCAGATCATAGACCCCCCTTGTTTCTCCTCCTGTGTTTTTTAGTCATGATGACATGTACTCATAACACTCTGTCTTTTTAAACTTTTTTCAAGGTTTCTTCCATCTTAGCAAGCCATCACTAACAATGAACTTCTAGTCCTTGTTGAGAAACCTGGCATTAACTTCTATATGGGTATAAACTGTCATCCTGTCAACTCCCTTCACCCCCCAAGATGACACCCCAGTTCAGCAGGAACACATCACCCCTTGTATAACAACCAAAAGATGGGAATGATAGGTTCTGGCCCTAGTATGAATTGCTGAATTATTATGGTGGTCACCTAATATGGCTGAAGCCCTTAAAACAGCTTATCTTCCCACTTGTCCAACTCAGCCCAGGGTGCAATTTCCTTTCACCTTCCCACCATCTCAGGGAAGACCCTGATCAGCTCCTCAGGTGTATCTGAACATCCCCCTCAAACTCCACCTCTAACAAAAGACCATAAAAGCCTCTGCCTCCCTCTGTTTCAATCCAGAGAATTCCTTTTCTTCCCAGATTCTCTCTGTGTCCTCCAAGATAATAAAGCCCCTTCCCCTTTTTCCTTCTGCCTGTTTCTCTGCTGCAACACCATTGAAAACCTATCGCTAAGCAGTGACAGAAATCTACATGCTGTATAAATGCTGTAATGGTGACTGGAGACACAGTCATTCTCAGTACTCCATTCATGGACCCCACTCATTATGATTCACCGCCAAGTTCCACTTGCACCATGGTACTGCAGTGGTATCGAATGTGGTAAACCTGTGGCTACTGCACTGTTGTACTTAACCACCTATGCGAGTATTTACTACCAATCCAGTATCTGTGATTCAGCTAACACCAATGGACGTCACTTGTTTGTGACTAACCCTTGACTAAATATAGACAAGGTCTCCCCTATTCCAAGATTGTGTTTTAGGCCTGATTAAGTGTCAAACCAAGAAGTGGGACTATACCATAGTTATGGAGAAGGCATACAGTAAGCACTCAATAAATATATGTATGTTTTTATCCTTTGTGATTGCATGTTTTGTTCCCATATTTTTATTTTAAAGACTAAAAGCAAAGAGTATAAGTATTTATTGAATAGAAAAATAATGGAAACAAAAAGAATGTGGTTTGCAACAGAATATTAATGTCAAGAGTTTTCCATCAGAAAGGAAAAAACCCAAGAAAACAGGTTTTAGAGTTTAAGAAGTCTTAGAGCATGAGATCATTTGAAAAGTCCTTCAAATAAAATATTCCCTACAGTCTAAGTTTACAGTTAGGCTACATTCCCAGTAAGTCTAGCATCTTCTAATGAATCGTTCCTGGAAAGGATTAATCGAGGTGAAAAGCACATAGTTAAGGTCTTACCACACATCTGAAAACCACCTTTTAGTATTTAAAAAGGCATTAATCATGATCACTACCCAACAGAAAGGAATGTTCATAGAATACGTTGAAGAAATGTTTGCTAAGGCAGAAAGTCAGAGAAAAGCAAAGCACACATACTCAAGGCTGAGGACAGATTACTTTATTCTTTAACAAACTGAAGCTATTGAGAAGAGACAGTTGACCAGAGGCGAACATTACTATATGATATATAAAACACTGCCAAGATTAGTGGAAACTCTCTTTGGTGGATGTTCTGTTTTTTCTGAGGCAGTGACTGTTGAGAAACAAGTTTCTTGTAAGCCTGACTTAGACATTATGCTGAGAGTTACTCAAGACCAAAGATTTGGAAAGTGCTTTTATTTCCTTTAGTATCTGATGACAGGAATGAGTTACAAAGATGTTCAGTTGATCCCTATGCTTTTACAACTTCTTACATGCCCATCCTTTTTCTTTTTCTTTTTTTTTGTATATGTGGTACAGGGTCTGACCATGCACATTGGACTCGTGGTGAGCCTCCTGTTTTCAGCCTCCCCCATACTGGGGTTACAGGTGTGCCCCACCATGCCCAGACTTGGTCACAGGCTCAGTGCCCCGGGGGGTGGGGGTGGAGCCCTCGGGGTATGGGGTACCTGGGATCGAATCCCAGTCCCTGTGCTTTGCCAAAACAAGTGCTCGGTCCACTGAGCTATCTTGCCGGCCCTTACATGGCTATCCTTTATGTTCATACTTCTTCATTTGTTTTTGCTGGATCGTCTGGTTTTCTTTTTGCTTTCTATTTCTGAGAATTATTTCTAAGTGAGTAACTATACCTGAAAAACTTTTAAAGCCACTTTAAAACAGTTCACAAAAATGTAGTTTTTATCAAAAGTATCATAGCTGTGTATAAAAAGTCCCATGGAATTGTCTTTGGGCTGTGTAAAATATGTCAGAATTTTAGCTGAGAATAAAATCAACTGGGCTCTGAGATCCTAGGCCTCTGTCCCAGCTAGTCCATGACAAATTTATTCAGGCCAGTAGGGAAACCTTTAGTATTCCATCATTTTGTTTTAAGGCTGCTCCAAGACAAGTGTTTTCTTTTCACTAATCGCTCAGTCTTGATCATCTATGCAATTGGCTGATGTGAAGAATATGCCTTGTCAGGGCCAGGAAGATAGCTCAGTAGCACAAGTGCTGCCTCGCAAGCACAGGGCCCGAGTTTTATCCCTGATACTGCGCACGTACATACACATGCGCGTGCGCATGCGCGCGCGCGCGCGCGCACACACACACACACACACACACACACACAGAATATTCCTTGTCCACGTAAATAGTTAAGGACCAAGATTCAGAGCCCCAGAAAACAAAGTAGCAAACCAGGGTCACATTAGAATTAAACCTGTCACACAGGAAGCTTCAGGTAAGATCTCAAGTTTGAGCCTAACCTCAGCCAACTAAGTAACTTTTAATGAGGTCGTCTCACAATTTTAAATTTCAAAAGGACCGAGAAAAGATCTCATTGCAAAGACCCTGGGTTCAATTTCTGATAGTAAGAAAGAAGAAAGAGGGGTAGGAAAATGAAGGAAGGAGAGGGGAGAGAGGAAGGGAGAAAGAAAGGAAAAAAGAAGAGGAAGAATTAAGCCTGTTATTCGAGAATAGTTTTTTTTATTGTTGTTGTTTTTTCTCAGTACCAGGGATCAAACTCAGAACCTTGCACATGTGAGGCAGGTGCTTTATGGTACTGAGCTGCCACCCGGCCCTATACTGTTTCACTAATAAGACTTCAAGGGATTTCCATGCTTCCTTCAATGTAATCCTAGGCAGTACCCTGGCTTTTTTTTTTTTTTTGCATATGATCAAATAATTTAATGTAAATATGCCTTATTTTCTTATGATTTGAAATCATCATAAAAACCTCTTAAGCACAGTTATCTTTCTTTGAGTATTACCACTACTGAGAATTTAAAAATTTCCAGGCCTGGCCATCCAGGAAAACTTGGGCCACATTCCAAAATCATCTCTATTAAATTACAAAGTGAAATAGCACAATCAGGAAGTAGAGAATAAAAGAAAGAGAACATTTAGACAAAGACATGGTTACTTTTTATTTGAAGGGGGAAAAAGTATGTTTTAATAAATACTGCAGAAACATTGACCAAACAAACATACAAAGTGACTTCGACATTTAAAAAAAATGCAACATAAGTTCTGCTTTATAACAGTTATAACTTATTTTCTTTTTACAATATTTAAATACAGAAAGCACTTGCCAGCTATTTTGTAATACTGTCCAAAGCATAATGCTGCATCAATCAAAGGATATAATGTTGGGAAAACATCTGTATCTTGTGGGAAATGACTCAAATGATATTTTCTTGCAGAGACAAAACAAAGTGCTTGTAAGACACCAAACGGAGGGCTGTAATTGACTTAATCTACTCTCCTGCCACAGAGTAATGGGAACACAGCTTCAAGACTTCAAAAATGAAGCATTGTGATGGGAAAGAAAGCTTGTTTTTAACAAGCGCCAACAATAAACAAGTCAGATCTGGCTTCTTCTCTGAAAGAATCCCTAGCTAGAATGGGTCAAAAATCTACCTGTAAACTATTTTAAATGTTGATTATTGTATGCAACAACAAAGATGCAGTTTTCAACCTGGACCCTGGGTAAATCTGGTTAAGTGGATCTTAGCAATAGCTCTCAGAAATGCCAGAAAGAAAAGAAAAAAAGTAAAGAAAAGAAAGAAAAGAAAAGAAAAGAAAAGAAAAGAAAAGAAGAAAAGAAAAGGAAAGGAAAGGAAAGAAAAGGAAAGAAAGCAAGGAAGGAAGAAATGCCCTAGTGTAATGTCATGACTGGCATCATATAATTTTCTACTAGGGATTTTCTAAAGCTCGGTAAGTGGGTCCTTCTCAAATGCATGTTCATTTAAGGAAAGTATAATAAACCAACAGATCATTAGATGCTGCCAACTGGAGCGCCATCTCAAAATAAGAGTCCTTCTGCTTTGTACATTTGGTAGCGTATTTCCTGACACCTTTACTCACAAACTGTGCTTTCTGCTACTATTCCTTCATTCATTACCTCTCCTGGTGAAAATAGTACCTATATTTTTCTCCCTTGGATCATTCTATAACACAAAGACACTTTTATTTGACTTTGCATTTTCATCAACAATGGCAAAAAAAAAAAAAATCACACACCTCTTTTCTAAACAGCGCACAAAAATATTACATTGAGCAATTTACCACTTGTTAATGACAATCACAATGAACAGAACCATCAGACTGAATCAAAATCAACGCCTCTTTCTATTTGATCTATGCAATCTTTGTAGCGCTGGTCTACACATCTTGCAAGGCTGCAAACACTTTTCTTCAGAACCATCTCGCTGAGCAGTCATCTTCAGGAGGGCAGGATTTCAAAGCCTCATGAAGTTTCCCTCTGGAATCCCATGGGTCCTGATACAATTTCCATTTTAATGACGAGCTAGGAGGAAATTAGATCGCATCCTCTAGCAAACTAAATGCTAAGGTTACAGTGCCAGTTCCCCAATGAGATGGTATATTAATATATATATATTTTTTGTAAAAGGAGATTAAAACATTTAAAAATGAAAGTAGAGATCCACGAATAGAATGTAACAAAACAAAACAGAACAGAACACGACGCAAGCACCACTCTGTGATTTTTCTTCATGGAGGTACTCGCCTTCCTCCTCACCTCTCTTAGCCCATTTTGCATCTCTCCTTTTTGGCATATTTTTCAAGTCACACTTCAAAACACTTCAACGTTGTTGCTTCTCACCACTCGGCCTACACGCCGAGCCTAAGGACAGGATTCCACAAAGATAGGGGTCCCCTCAGGGGCCTCCTGAGCCTGCAGTGTATGTGGCTTTGGCTGTCCTTCTCACCTTTTTGTTTCGCTCGCGTTTTTACACTAGATTCACTTGTCCTCATTAAAGATAACGAAAGATTCACATCACAGTGCAGCTCTTTGCTTTGTCCTTTCTTAAGTCCGTAGTAACTGCCGAGAGTTCTGGTCTGCTAGGCATGTGTGAAATCCGCTTTGTGGCCCTCTGTGATTTGTTCCGCTTAACGTTTTTATTTGTCTTATTTACACATGCCAAGGTGGCAACGTGAAAAATGTCTCTGACACTATTTTCTGACTGCAAAGCTGAACATTCAATATAAGTAGCTGCTCCAATCTGTTTGGCCATATTTGCCCCCTGAAAAAGAAGAGAAGGGATTTAATTAGCAAAAAGACCTTGGGGGAATCCTTCCCTCTGTACTCTTGCTATATTTTACTGTTTTCGGCTGCCATGAGCTGCTGCCCTCTACCATGTGCCTCTCTGCCATATAGCCAGCTGATTTTGGACTGAAATCCTGACAAAGTGTGAGGTGAAAAAAAAAATCCTTCCTTCCTTGAAGAAAAAAAAAAAAAAAAAGGACCTTAGGAAAAAGCTAAGAAGTGTCTTCTAATACCACAAAACAATTTTCATTGCCAAACATTTTCTAATATGTCAGCTGAATTTTCCAAGTGTTGTTACAAATGGAATTTATTCATTGATCTACGGTACTCTATTTATTACTTCGTGAATACCTGCAATCAAGACCCAGGCCTAAGGCACTCAAATGTTATCACTCATCTAAAGTCACAACGTCATTAATACAGGAAGGTCACAATCATCAAACACTTCATGAACTGATACAAGGAATGAGGAGAGGAGCTAAGAAGGCCATTCATACCCAATAGCAAATTCAACTAAGAGTGGCTGGTTACCCTGGAAGATTCCAGGGTCATCGGGAGGACAGAATCGTCCTAGTGCAATCTGTCAGCTAAGTCATGATCATAAACTGTATTTTCCACACAGTTCTGGCAGGGGCAGTCTGGCTTTTAGTGCCTGTTGGTGCCACTTATGGATATTTACTTTCTCTCTCCTTGACTATGCAAGTCAGTCAAAGCTACTCAACAGGTTATGCAAAACATAGTGGCAATGGATGGAATTTAAGTGCATTTTATATAAATTGATTTATGCAACTCTCTTACAGTCAAAATACATTGAAGAAAGGTATATGATCATGAAGTCTATTACTCTATGGAATGAAAGCACACAATTTGTAAACGTGGATGATGCTGACATGATATGTAATGACAAATGTGTACATAATCAAAATTACTTATTTAAATAACCAATTTTTTAAAATTACAAATGCAAGATGAAGAAGGTTACAGTATATATTTTTCTTTTTTAAATTTCTCATAATGTTGGGGGATTAAATGCAGGACCCTAAATGTTCTACCACTGAATCACATCCCCAGCCTTAGGTTGCATTATTTTAAATGACAAATATGAAATATAATTGTAGCTATTTCAACATGAGCCCTCTTCGGAATCTGGTTGTGGGTTTTAAGAGAATGAACTTCTGAAACTAACTCTCCATTCTAACTATTTGTGGGAAACGTGTAGAAATTCTAAAAGACAGTTTTATGAAATAAGCTATTGGAAATAGCCTGCTTAGGATTTTATTGGGCTGCTGAATATTAAATAAGATCACCTCTTTTAAATAGAACTACTGAATTTGACAATATTCTCTCTCAAATCTTCTAAACTTTAAACACACCAAGATTTGGAGGGATATACCAGAATAGGACATGATCAACTGTATATGTTCACAAGTATCATGTGATTGTGCTACTGAATGACAGGGTGTTTCACACTTCACAGATGACCACTGGCTGAACCTGTTTGTAGCAAAAGCAGCCATTTGTCATTCTATTTATTATGAGTGATACTCCGTTTCTTTCACCATGAAATTCACTTCACACTGATGCCGTACGTACCTGATCGTATGACACTGGAGTCTGCCTGTGATTTGAAAGTTCTACTAATGTACTAACATCTGTCCTCAAGTCAGACTTGCAGCCAACCAAGAGCATTTTGGTATTGGGACAAAACTCTTGGATTTCACCCTTCCACTGAAAGGGAGGAAAAAAGAAAAATTAATAAATACTGGAATCCCCATGATGAAAAGATTTTTTCATTCACAGAAACTAGAAGTACTCAAGAAGGACATTGAAAAGAGTGTTATTTCAAATGAAGACACAAACTTACATTTATTTCCCAGATAGATATTGTCCTACTACTTTTTAGAGTGGATCCATTAAAGAATGCCAATGAATATTATTAATGACTCTGTGACTCATTTATCCCTACTGAAAGAGATGTAGTGGGTGTGTCTGAAAGTAGCTGGAACAATTTCTTAATTATTGGAGGTATCTTTGACAGATAGCAATTATACAGGCTAACAACTATGTCCTTAGATCTGCTGAGCTAGTACTTTCTAGGTAGGGGCTGGACTGAGAGCCAAACCCAGCGCAAGTGTGTATTCACTGATTCCATCAGGAAAGGCTGAGCATGTCACCACCTGCTGCAGGCTCCAAGGAGACACCTGAGTGACAGTAAAACCCAATCTATTGCTTTCAAAGAGTTTTCTTCCATTCAAGTGGCTAAATGAATACAGAGCATCACAGGTGCAAAGAATCACCTCCTGGGTTCTGCAGAAGGCATTTGTCCTACTTTTAAAGTTGCATAAACTATTTCAATCTAGTCCAATTTGACCAGTTGTTTCATAACTTAACTGGAATTATGTGAACCTCCAAAAACACCTCACAAGGAATTCTAATTTTCCTCTTTAAAAGCAACCAGATGATATCTTGTGGCTTTGCTCGCTCCCACATGAGCGCTTCATCTTCAGGACGGGATTAGGAATCCCAAGTGTTCGCAGGAGCGCTCTGGCTCTTGGAGGCCAGGGTTTATGGGGCTGAGACTCTTCCACCCACATTCATAAATATGTCTTAAGTGCTCTATGAAGTATTGTGGTGATGACAAAAATGAATAAGACACAGCTGTGTCTTCCGGAAAGGAATTCACAGAAGAGCAAGGGTAATGAAGTCATGTGTCTAAGTGTAATATGAGATAAAAAGGACATCCTACAAGGATAATTGAAGAGACCATGAGAGGAGACCATCTCAGGTTTAGAGGTGCACTGTGGACAAAAATATTCTGGTCCACCAGTGCCTTGAGAGAAGTAGCACATTTTCCATAGAGAATAATGTGGGAAAAGAAATGCTTTCTTTTCTTCTTTCCAGAATGATTTAGGACCATTTACCAAGTGTTAAACAACACTGGAATCATAATTGGAACATTTAAAAAAAATGAATACAAAATCTCTGTTGTAAGGTACTCTAACCTCTTTGATATTCAGGACTGAATTAATCAAGGCCAACCACAGAAGGGGTTATTATGAGCATTAAGCCTCCAATGAATGGAAAGCATACTCATTAATATCCATACGGCCAAAGACAATATTCATTTGGTCTTAGACAACAGAAGCAAAGTAAAACAGAAGAAAAGCTTTTCATGATAAAATTTGATATTACATCAAGTAAAAGCTCCAGCAAATAAACAAGCGCTTTTCTCTACAGGCAGAACTAGCCAGATTGTTCTTCAGCTGAATAGCAACTCGGGCCTCCCTCCACCTGTCTAGCAATTGTTTCTAAGCATTAAAGACAGGAGAGGTACATTCTTGCCTGAATCCAACAAACATTAGCCTCATTTGATACTAGCACTCAAACTAAAAGGAGTTGAAAAGTGAAAAAGGGCCTTTTATCTATTAAGAAAATTGTATTTCTTTGAACTGTGTTCAGTGAAAACAGAGGAGGGTGATTATACATCATACCATCATCTCATAATGACCCACAAGCCAAGTGACCACATATCACAGAGAAATATAAATTAACAACAGTTCACAGTATTAAAACTCCACTAAACACAAAAAAACAAAAGAATCCAAACAAGTCAGAACGAGCTAAAAAACAAACAAACAAAAAAAAAAAAAAACAAAAA